TGTACGTGTTTAGCAATAAATGTTTAATTATATATAAGATTTTTTTTTTCAATATAAATAAAAACAACATCTTAATATATTAATATAGTTTTTAATCATAGTTTTATTTGTTTTAATTTATTATGAGGTTTTGGCTAGAAATTAACTATTTTAACCCATTATAGTTTTTTATTATTGTGCATAGTAATAATAAAGGTTCTACCATCTAGTGTTGCTAGATTATTGCAAGAATCTAGAATAGTATACTTTTTATACTATTCTAGATTCAAAAAAAACTTTAAATAATATTTTTGTTTCTAATTTTATTGCCGAATTAAGGGAGGGGGGCTATGGCCCCGGGGCCTTAAATTTTAGGGGCCCCGTAACATTCAAGAAGACCTTCCCCTTACAAATCGTGCTATATAAATTTGGCTAATAAAGTACTGCAGAAAAAAATAGCCCCGGGTCCCGAATGTTCTTAATCCGCCTCTGGCTAGTTTACGGAATTTTTTTTATAGGCTAAAAAATTGGAATTTTTCAAAATTATGCAATAAAAATCCAAGTTTTTATAAAACTAAAATTTTTTTTTGCATAATTTGTTTTTCAATATAATACACCGTTTGTAATAAAAAAAAAAAAAAATTAAAATATATTTTAGAGGTTTTGGCTGAAAATTGGCACCTCTGACCCACTGTGCGTGGGTTAAAAAAAATTAAATTATAAAACTTTTTGTTAAAACCTTAAGTTTCCTAAAACACTGGAAGAAATGTTACGTAACTGTCATCAATGTTAAAAATTATTGAATTAAATAAGTATAGTATAGTTTTAAAGTAAAGCAGGGCCGATGACATGGGTTTCGAAGTAGGGGGGGTTACAATCGTTAATTCTTAAAAAAAATCTTTTATATTTAAAATTTTCTTTAAAAAAAAAATTTCCTTCAGTCCCAAAGTCATTTTTCGATTATTAAAAATGTATATGAATTTGTTTGCTCTTATAATATAAAAAAGCTCTCGTTCTTTAACTAAAGTTTGTTTTTTTGGTTTTTACAGAAATTTTATTGGCTTTGACTCAATTGCCCAAAATAGGGCAAATGAACACTTGGAATCTTACATATATTTTGAATTTTTATAAATGCGTATGAACTTGTTTACTCTGACAATATGAAAAAGTATTTGTTTTTCAACTAAAGTTAATTTTCATTATTGTTACAGAGCTTTAATCGTTCCTGGCCCAATTGCCCCAACTCAGGGCAATTTTAAAATTGGGCAGCTTCAGGGCAAAATCAGAGCGACCTGAAACTTTTGCATATTTTTTTGATATTTATTAATGTAAATGAATTTATTCACTCTGACAGTTTGAAAAAACTCTTTTTCTTTAACTAAAGTCAATTTTTACGGTTTTAACAGAGCTTTTTGTACTCTTGGCCCAATTTGACCCAAAATGGGAAAACGAACTTCGTGTATTTTTACATATTTTCCTAATAATAATAAATATAAATGACTTTGTTTATTCTGACAGTTTGAAAAGCTCTTTTTTAAAATAAAGTTAATTTTATTGTTTTTACAGAGCTTTGATTATTCTTGGTCCAATTACCCTGTATAGGGAAGCAAGCCCTAAGGTTTTTACATATTTTCATGATATTTATAAATGTAAATGAATTTATTCACTCTGAGAGTTTGAAAAAGCTCTTTTTCCTAATATTGATAAATATAAATGAATTTGTTTATTCTGACAGTTTTAAAAAGCTCTTTTTTTAACTAAAGTTAGTTTTTACGGTTTTAACAAAGCTTTTATAGCTTTTGTCCCAAATGTCTGAAATGGGGCAAACGAGCAGTGGGATCTTTACTTAGGGGCCCCTAATATGAGAATAATATTTTGTAGAATTGAATGCTTTGATTCTTTAGTAAAAAAGAAAACAATAAAGATATTTTAGGATAAGTACTTCAATAAAACTCTTTCTCATTGATGGCATTGGAATAGATCTAACATCAATAGATCTAACATCAAAATGTGGAGCCATAAATCCTTAAGAAAAACTCAACAAATGTTGACGCAAAAGAGGCGTTATTGAACTCAACATACATTTTCATAACTTGGGTACCAGTTATCCAAATTTAAAAAACGAGCTCATTCTGAAAACGTCTTTTGTTATCCGCGTACTTTGGTATTAATTAAAGCCAGAGATAATGATAATAGTAAAATTGTGTGAAGTGCTTAATTAGATTAAATTTAAAACCTATCGATGAAATTATGTTTTGCATAACATGCATCTCACGTCACCTATCCTTCGCCCTTGGGCAAAGTGTAGAGAACTATGAGAACCATCTATGAAGACGGGGTCTTTTAGAAAATTTTTGATTCCAAGCTCCAACCAGCCATATAAAGCATTCTCATTTAAAAAAAACTCGTGATAAAGTTTCAAATTTTTTTAATAATCAGTAATGGTAGCCAGTTTTATCATCCTCAGAAATTCAGCATTCACTATGAAGAAGTATATCTAATTTTATTAAAGATATATGAAAGCTGGTTCAAAATTTATGCAACAGATCAGACATATGAAGAATAAACTATTTAAAATTTTCTTATTAGTGTTTTAAATTCTCCTGTTCCCAATCTTGAGATGAAGAAGCGCAAGAATGATGCAACACAATCACTAAAGCCTCAAGGCCTTATAATTTCTTTGATTTATTTACACATGCAATGAACTCCTCAAATCCAATTATAAGTTTATTATCTTAATTATAAGATCTAAAAATAAAGCGTATATTTTTCTTAAAAAAAAACAGCTTTTTAATGCTGAAGAAATAGACGTAAATACAAGCAAAAGCCGAAAATGACAATGACTTATCAGATAATAACAACAATAATGGTTTTCCATTAACTTCATTTTTAAATTCCTTTAAAGTATTCTCTAAGGATTTGGAACAGTTTTTAAAAAAATGTCTAAATTTTTAAATAAGTTGGTAATAATAATGTTTATTGCAACGTTATTATCAACTCTTACGAAATTATTAAAGATATCTTATTTAATGTTTTAGAGTATACAATATGATGGGAAGTATTTCTTGTTAAATTAATAAAGTTTCACCAATATTAGGAGGTGATCAGCAAATGTTTCAAATTATTGTCCAATATTTATTTTGCCTGTTTTTTCTAAAGTTCTAGAAAGAGTTTTATATAACCCAATTTTAAATCATTTATCTTTAAAAAATGTACTTAACTTCATCAATACGGCTTCAAAAAAAGTAATTCAATAGAACACGATAAACTCCAAATTACCAGCAGTATTGCTAAATCTTTTGAAAAGTCCTAATATGCTCTAGGGGTTTTCATAGTGGCTTTTAATTTGATGAATGTTATGTTTCCCGATGATAATAGTCTCTTTTTTTTTTTTTCATTGCTGCAAAACAATATAATTTTAAAATATGAACGCTAAATTAACGAAAATTTGTGACTGGTTTAAAAAGAATAAGTTCAAAATAAAATGGATTACAAAATGAACACTTTTTCATCTAATTTCTAAATAGAAATTGCAGCCTCATTACAAGCTCTTAAAGTTTATAGAGAAAGTTGAAATAAAAATAAGATAAATACTTTATAGGTATCCATGTTGATGAAAACCTTACACGGAAGGATCACATAAAATTTTTGTGTAATAATACATTTCAAACATTCTACATTCCAAATATATACAAATCATAATAATAAATTATATTTCAAATACTCTAAAAGTTGCACAAAAATTTTATGTGTAAAAATGTAGATAATGTATAATGTACAGCCAGAAAGGCTTTAAATAAACACGGTTTAGCAAAATAATATTTCTCCTTTATCCATTTTCATATAAATTTTATAAATATTTCCTGAAGTAGGGTGGACCGGGAAAATACCTACACACAGGGCAAATCCAACACCCTGCTCTGTAGTTGTATTTTGTGATTAAAGTGCTGTTGTATAGTGCTGCTACCTGTCGGACAACACTAAAACTAACGCATAGTGAGTTTTATGCGAGTAGGCCTACTGCTTGTTTTGCTATTAATAAATAACTAGTTTTTGAAGTTTTCCATGTTTAAACTGACTGGATGAACTGACATATGGTTCTAATTGTTAGTATTACTAAAAAACCACTTAGTTAGCTAGAAAATACATATTAAAACAAACATTTTAGCATAGCTGTTTTAGGATTTGAAGCTATCAATAGCTTGTAGGGTTAGGTTTCCGCCATCTTGTTCTACCGGGGTAATACCGACACACCACCACGGGGCAATGCCGACAGGTGTCGGTATTGCCCCATTATTTATAAAATATTTAAGGTGGTCCTATACTAGAAAAAATCGAAAAAATCATTTTTTCAAAAATTACAAATTCTGAAATTTCAAACATTTTACATTCCGAATATATACAAATCATTATAATAAATTATATTTCAAATACTCTAAAATTGTAAGTTTTGTAACGAAGTTGAAATCTTTCTTAAGCAACACCTCTAGCAACGGATTTTTTACATTAAAAAAAAGCTATTTTAGAGTTTTTTGCCATTATACACTAGATTTATTACAGTATTAGAAACCAGTAACTGTTTCCTGTTTAACTTAAGAAAGTTTTCTATAAGTAATAATTGTAAACATGCAAATTGTTTTTGCAAGTCATTAGACTTGCAAAAACAATTTGCATGTTTACAATTATTACTTATAGAAAAGCCTCGTGTTTAACTTTATTTGATCTAAATGTCTATTTAGGGTAAAACACCCAGTATTCGCCACTTTTTTCTACCCTGCCCCACTAAAATATTTTTTTCTCACTCGTTTTTCAATAAATGATTGATCTTAAATATTTATCGTACAGATGGATAGTTGGGCTATACGCTGTACTTAGAACGAATGACCTCCGATAATTAATAAGGGGGCTATAGCCCCCGAAAGTTGAAAGTGGCGGACACTGGAACGGTCCCCATGTTCGCCAGGCAATTTTTTGAACCTGTTCCAGTGTTCGCCACCCTCAGACTTTTTAAAAAATAATTTTTTTATGTAATGGAAAATTTTTTTGGTTTCTTCTTTGCCATTTTTGTTGCTGGCAGCAACTTTCTTTTAGCTGGAACACTTGGCTTGTTGCGTTTAGCTAATTCAGCAACTAAGCGCTTCGTTTTTCTCTCCTCTTTTGCTTGTTCTTGTTTTTTTTTTCAAGCCCAATACCTTCTAGCATCGAGACAACTTTATCTGAAGTCACTACAGATGTGGCATGAAGTTCTTGAGCCACTGTACGAACCTTTCCTATGAAAATTAAAATAATAATCAGGTTATAATAAAGTAAATTTATGACCATAGGCTACATGTGGTAATTTTACAGAGATTAAAAATGGAAATTATAATAATAAATTTAAAATATAGGTAGCCTAGTTAATACACTAACCGATAGCTTTTTTTGGAGAAGGGAACCACTTATGATTTTTAAGAGCAGGACTAATCGCAGGTGGTCTTGCTTGTCTTTGAGGTTCTACCAACATAGGCCTAGTCCTGTTTGGAGGGGCTGACATTGAGGAACACTGTGCATCTGAACTAGAATGAATACTAGGTGAATGAACAGGGGAAACAACAAGGGAATCAACAGCTGGTGCATCCTATTATGGAAAAAAAAGATTTAAGAGGAAACAGGGCCGGCAATAATGGGGGTGCATGGGGGGGGTGACACCCCTCTCAACACTAAATCTTAGTCGGCACAAACCAAATTCAGTGACCTTAGTCGGCAATGCAGACTAATTAAATTATTATGATCCATTAAGAATCCATTAGTAGATATTCCCATAATATTACTGAATATTCCCTTGAGAAAAATTCAAAATATTAATTAGTAAAATTTAATTAAATAAAATTTAATCAGTGTACGCGTTTTTAAGTGTTAAATTATTAGCGCTTAAATGTCACTTAAAGATAAACATATTTTTGTAAAAAAATTATATACAATTTTGCTGTGTAACAATAACTAACTCTGATGGGATGAATTTTTCATTAGAGGGTATGTACTTTGTGTTTTATCGAAAACTTATTTAAAATAATTGTCATTGATGATATATTTCATTAATTCGTTTTTTAATTTTCAAAGCGTGTAACTAATTTTATCCAAATATATCCAGGCTGTTTTTTTTATATATTATAACCACAACAATAAGGCGGCTAAATATAAAATTTTGGCTGCCTGCGTCTGCCCGTTTCATTTTTATTACATTTTTTTCAGACCGAGTGTATTCTATTACAAAATTGGAGTTATTTGAAGAATGGCAAAAACATGCAAAGGAAGAACTCTTTTGTGTGACTTTATTTTGAAACACTATACTACAGAAGATGTTATTAGTGATTCGAAAAAAAAATACTGCTAAAAATGGCAAGTATATCCGCTAAATTTGCGCATAAGTGGAATGCAGACAATAGAAATATGGATCATTTTTTAAATAATAATAAAAGTTGGTTAGAGGGCAATAATTTAGAATTTAAAATAAATTTTTATCGGTCCTGTGCTTCTACAACATCTGAAGGAAGTCGGCCTCAAGGTCGACCAAAGAAAAACTTTGAAGACTCATCTTTAAAAACCAAAAGACGTAGAGTTGAAGACTTATTGCAATCGCGAAGTGCCAATGAATTAACAACAGCTGCTGAAATAGCACATTGTTTGTCGGATCAAAAAAACGTAGCTACTTCTCTTAGAAAAAGTACAGAAACCTTAGAGCGAAGAAAATCTACAGATGTTATTTGTGGTATCAGACAGTTAAGTAGCAATGAAGCACTTGCTTAATATGTAGATTCCAAGTGTACTAGTCACTCTTATAAACAAAGAAAGTGGTCAATGAAAGCAGGGCATAAAGTGTATCCGTCTTACTTTAATTTATGCAAATCCAAAAGGTTGTGTTACCCTCCAGAAGAATTTATTTCTATCTCAGAAACACATGGTAATTTAGTCGTCAAATTTACCTTTTTTAATTTTTCTGTTACTTCTTTAGGTGAGCAGCATATTTTTGAGAAGTAAACTTTTATGATGGTTATGAGAGTGGATGGCAGAATCAGATGTTACTAAAAGAATTTATTTCTATGTCAGAAACACACGGTAATTTAGTCGTCAAATTTACCTTTTTTAATTTTTCTGTTACTTCTTTAGGTGAGCAGCATATTTTTAAGAAGTAAACTTTTATGATGGTTATGAGAGTGGATGGCAGAATCAAATGTTACTAAAAGTGTACTAAATAAATTAAATCTTAGGGTTCGGAACTTATACGCACATCGACGAATATATGGGCATACCATTCAAAAGTTATGCGCATAATATGGATATGATGCGCATACAAATTTAACTGATGAAATGTGAAATTAATTAAATATTGTTAAATAAATAAAAAAATGTTTTTTAAATCAAACGCAGATGACTTTAAATTGAAAGAAATAATTTTTCATTTGATTTTCTGTAATTAATTTTAATAGTAAATATTTCAAATTATTTTCATGATTTTTAAACGAATTTCTGTATCACAAAACTTAACAATTTAATTTATTTTTATATTACATTTGCTCATTTATACTTAATACTTAAACTCGCTTAGTACTGCTCCTTCCTCTAAAATATAGTCATTTTTGCCGTTTGTATCCAACAAAACAATATTGGTATATAAGACCATGAGAACAAAAGTAGTGTAACCCACAAATTTACAAAATGTGTTTTTTTCGCGTAACGTAACTCTATAAAAAACTTAAAGAAATGTCTCAATAGATGGTTAAAACTGAAAAGCTGCTATGAATTCAAAAACAAGTGAGATAATTCAATTAAAAAACTACGGAATTTTATTTTTACTATTTTCTATATGTTGCTTACACCACTTTTGTTTTCATGGCCTCATATATGAAAACTAATTTTTTTACGCGTTCGTTGTTAATCCAGGAAAAAAAGTTCTATAGAATTTTCGAAACATATGGCCTATAGAAATTCTGTAGAATTCTATTGAATTTCTATAAAATTTCTGTTAACTTTTATAAAAATATCTATAGAAATTTTTTTTTCTATTTTTTTTTTATATATATTTTTATATATATTTTTATATATATTTTTATATATATTTTATATATATTTTTATATATATTTTTATATATAAAAAAAAAATTTATTGAAATTTCTAAAGAAATTATTAGACATTCTATATAAATTCTATAGAGTTTCTATAGGCCATATGTTTCAAAAGTTTATAGAAAATTCTATAGAACTTTATTACCTGGGAAGAGATTTCTCAATTGTGAATGAATAAATTGTAAAATTGTCCAAGTTCTCTCTGCTGTTGCTGACGAACAAATTATTTCAATAATAGGTTTCGCTACTTCAAAGACTGCTGGTCGTGTCTGACTACCAACAATGTTCCAATAATTCTTATTTTAAAAATTGTCTCTTTTTTTTTTTTGTCAGTGTTGACATTTCTCCAACAAATTCAATCTTTTCAACTGTCTCAGCAATTGTTGGATTTGTTTTGGAGGCTAATTCTAAAAATGAACTCATTATATCATCTAAGATCAAACAAATCATCTAAGATCAAATAAAAGCTATATATAACTTACTTAAAAACAAAAACACCTTTGAACGAAAAAATATACAAAAATTACAAATATCTATTTGAAAAAACTCGTAAAAACTTAAAAAAGAATTACTACTCAAAATTAATTGAAAATGTTAAGAACGACTCTAAACGTACGTGGAAAATATTAAGAGAAATTGGTGGAAAACAAAAAACTTGCTCAGGTTCCCTACCGCAGGTGATTAGAGTGGATAACAAATATATTTTTGAACCTAGATTAATAGCTCATGAGTTTAACAAATTCTTTATTGATATCGGTTCGAAACTAGCAAATAAAATTCCTAATACCCAATTTGTGTTCAATAACTTTTTAACACCGATGGATGATTGCATTTGTTCAAATAATTTATCTTCTGAGCTATCATTTGAGGAGTTCGAAGTGTCGTTTAAATCTATTTAAAAAAACAAAGCCCCTGGAGCTGATGAAATAAATGGAAACATAGTCTTAGAATGCTTTGAACAATAAAAAGATATTCTCTTTAGAGTTTTCAGAGCGTCAATACAACAAGGAGTTTTTCCTGATAAGTTAAAAATAGCTAAGATAATCCCAATATACAAAGAAGGAGACAGAACTAATATATGTAACTACCGACCTATTTCTATTTTATCGACATTTTCAAAAATCTTAGAAAAAATTATTTACAATAGATTATATACTTATTTTAAGGAGAAGAATTTTTTTTATAAAAATCAGTTTGGCTTTAAAAAAAATAGTTCTACTGAGTATGCAATCATTCAATTCGTCCGTGAAATCTCCAAGTCTTTCAAAAATTCCCAATTCACTTTAGGTATTTTTTTGGATTTATCAAAAGCATTTGATACAGTAAATCATGGCATTTTGATTTATAAACTTAAATATTCTGGAGTGGATGGTGTAATTTTGAAGTAGTTTAAAAGTTATTTAACAAACTGAAAACAATTCGTTTCTTTTAACAATCCTTATCAAAAAAATGTTTTAGATATTTCATGTGGTGTTCCGCAAGGATCAATTTTAGGGCCACTTCTTTTTTTAATATACATTAATGACTTGCATAAAGCTTCTAATCTTTTAAGTATTATGTTTGCGGATGATACTAATTTATTTTTATCTGATAACAATATTAATAAACTCTTCACTACTATGAATGAAGAACTCAAAATAATTTCTAGCTAATTCAAATGCAATAAACTTACCCTAAGTATTAAAAACAAAATGGATTCTTTTTATTTGATAATTAAAAAACCCCCAACTCTACCTGATATTTTATTGACCATATTGAAATAAAAAGAGATTGCACCACAAAATTTTTAGGCGTATTCCTTGATGAGAACATCACATGGAAGCAACATATTGGATTATGTTGGTACTAAAGTTTCAAAAAATATTGGAATTCTTTATAAGGCCAGAATCTATATAAATAAAAAAGTTTTATCCCAACTTTATTATGCATTCATTCATAGCTATATGAATTATGCAAATATTGCTATATATAAGTTACAATCTCTCTATCGCCGTCAGAAACATGCAATACGTGTAATTAATTTTGCTGATCGTTTTTCTCACTCTAAACATCTTTTTTCTGAAATGAGAATACTTAATATTTACGAACTTAATGTTTTTAATATTTTATGCTTTGTATATATATGTAAAAAAAATCTTTCTCCTGCCGTTTTTAATGATTTAATTACTTTGAAACCTACCAATAAATACTCTCTAAGAAATAACAACCTTCTATATGAGCCTTTTTGTCGAACAAGTTTTAACCAGTTTTGCATTGATTATCGTGCACCCCATCTTTGGAACAAAATTGTTTTGCCTAATTTTAATTTTGATCTACCTACTTCTTTGCATCTTTTTAAAGTTAAGCTGAAAAATCTTTTTCTCTCCCGTATTATCAAAATTTGACAATAATATTTATATTATTGAAATATTTATTAAACTTTATTATATATACTACAAAGTGATATATATATATGTATATTTTATTTCTATTTTGTTGTACTTATAGTTACTTTATAATATAATATTTTGTTTACACTAGTATAAGGTTCTGACGATAAGATCTTACTGATCTTCTTTCAGATACCTAGTTTTTCAAATGTTAGTAGTATTTGCTTACTTTATAATTTGTATTAATTTTTTATTTACTCTCATTATATTGTAAAAACGAACTAACAAATGTAAACTAAAATATTTAAAAAAAAAAAAAAAAAAAAAAAG